TTGTGGCTATTGTGAAGGGTGATGTTTCTCTGATTTCTTTCTCCCCCCATTTATCATCTATATATAGGAGGTCTACTGATTTTTTTGAGTTAATCTTGTGTCCTGCCATTTTGCTGAAGGTGTTTATCAACTGTAGGAGTTCCCTGGTAGAATTTTTCGGGTCACTTATGTACACTGTCATATCATTTGCAAATAGTGAAAGTTTGACTTCTTCCTTTCCAATTTGTATCTCCTTGATTTCCTTTTGTTGTCTTATTGCTCTAGCTAGAACTTTAAGTACAACATTGAAGAGATATGGAGACAGTGGACAGCCTTGTCTTGTTCCTGATTTTAGAGGAATCACATTGTGTTTCTCTCCATTTAGTTTGATGTTGGCTGTTGGCTTGCCTTTATTATGTTTAGGTATGTTCCTTGTATCCCTGATCTCTCCAAGACCTTTATCATGAAGGGGTGTTGGATTTTGTTGAAGGGTTTTTTAGCATCTAGTGAGATAATCATGTTATCATTCTTTTTCAGTTTGTGTATATGGTGGATTACATTGATGGATTTTCAGATGTTGAACCATCCCTGCATCCCAGGGATGAAGCCTACTTGATCATGGTGGATGATTTTTCTGATGTGTTCTTGGATTCGATTTTCCTATATTTTATTGAGTATTTTTGCATCAATGTTCATGAGGGAAATTGGTCTGTAGTTATCCTTCTTTGTTGTGTCTTTGTGTACTTTGGGTACCATGGTAATTGTAGCCTAGTAAAAAGAATTTGCACTGATCCTTCTGCTTCTATTGTGTGGAACACTGAAGAGTATTGGTATTAGCTTTTCATTGAATTTCTGGTAGAATTCTGAACTGAAACCATCTGGCCCTAGGATTTTTTTTGGTTAGGAGACTTTTGATGACTGTTTCTATTTACATGTGGATACCCTTGTGTTTGGGGCACAGATGTTTAGAAATGAAACTTCTTCTTGATGGATTTTCCTTGTGATGAATATGAAATGCCCTTTACCATCTCTTTTGATTACCTTTAGTTTGAAGTCTATTTTGTTAGATATTACGATAGCTACACCAACTTGTTTCTTAGATCCATTCAATTGCAAAATCTTTTCCCAACCCTTTACCCTGAGGTAATATTTGTCTTTGACTTTGAGGTGTGTTTCTTGAATGTTTCTTGTATGTCTTGTCTTTGTATCCATTCTGATAGCTTGTGGCTTTTTATAGGTGGATTGAAACCATTGGTATTAAAAGATATTAATGACCAGTGATGGTTAATTCCTGTTATACTTGATTTTGTTGGTGCTGGTGGTAGTGTTTGTGTGTTTCCCTTCTTTAGGGTTTGCTTGTGTGAGGTTATTAGTTGCCTGCATTTTTGTGGGTACAGCTAACTTCCTTGGCTTGGAGTTTACTTTCTAGTACTTTCTATAGGTCTGGATTTGTGGATTGGCATTGTTTAAATCTGTTTTTGTCATGGACTATTTTGTTTTCTCCATCTATGGTGATTGAAAGCTTTGCTGGGTATAGTTGTCTGGGCTGGCATCTGTGGTCCCTTAGTTTCTGCATAACATCCTTCCAGGACCTTCTGGCTTTCCATGTTTCCAGTGAGAAGTTGGGTGCAATTCTGATAGGTCTGCCTTTATATGTTACTTTGCCTTTTTCCTTTGCAGCTCTTAGTGTTCTTTCTTTATTCCTTTTGTTTAGTGTTTTGATTATTATTTGATGAAAGGACATTTTTGGTCCGGTATTTTGTTAGTTATGCTTGCATCTGTAGTTCCTGTTCATTTACCCAGATTTTCCATTTCCAGAATTCCCTAGGTTTGGGCTTTCTTTATTGCCTCTATTTGAATTTTCAATTTTTGGACTGTTTCCTTCACTTATTTTATTGGTTTTTTTTCTTTAAGGTATTTATTGATTTCTTCCAGTTCTTTGTCTTTTCCTCCATTTCCTTAAGGGAATTTTCCATTTCCTCTTTAAGGACTTCTATAGTCTTAATAGAGTTATTTTTAAGGTCATTTTCTTCTGCCTCATCTGAATTGGGATATTCAGGTCTTGCTCTTGTAGAACCACTAGATTCTGATGGTGTCATATTGTTCTTTATGCTGTCAAATGTGACCTTGCACTGCTGTGTACCCATCTCTTCCTCCAGGTGCAGGTAGGCTTGTGGCTCCTTGGTCACTGATGAAGCAGGGATGGTGTGTTGGGGGAGGGGAGGGTGCTACTGTCTGGTCACTGGGGCTGCAGTAGATGGTTTGAGGTATGGAATGTGTCCCTGTGGCCTAGGGCCTAGAGAGCGAGACTATCCAGCTGGGAGATCAAATACTCACCTCTTCCTCCAGGTTGTAGGTGATTATTTTTTTCTTTGAGACAGGGTCTCACTGTGTCACTCTGGCTGTCCTGGATCTCACTCTGTAGACCAAGCTGGCCTTGAACTCACAGAGATCCACCTGACTCTGCCTCCTAAGTGGTGGGATTAGTGCTGGAATTAAAGGCATGTGCTACCACACCTGACTCATATCTGGTCTTTACCGAAGGAAAAGCAATGCAAAAGACAAAACCAAAAATACGTTTTTGATACTTTTTAAAATATACATATATTTTACTAAATCTTTCAAAATTTCATACATGATTCACTCTCATTTCTCCCCATAAGTCTTCCTATATACACCCCCTTCCTCATCCCATCCCAACATTTTTATCTTTAAAAGAATATTATGTCCAATTTGTGCTGTTCTCATGGGCACAGGCCATCCCCTGGATTGTGTTCAACTTAGCAGAGGCCTCAGCTTTATAGAAAATGGGCTGTTCATCCTCAACAAGCATCCACAGTGTTTCTGACAACCTGCTATTCATAGATTGTTCATAGGTTTCTGTGCTCATAGATTGCCCCAATCTGCCAGCTTAAAAAATGGGGGAAATACATAAGGTCTTTTTTATTCCTATCATTCGCCTTTTTTAAACTCCTTTTGTCTGGTAAAACTCATCAAGTTTAAACACAGTTCAGGCATTTGTCTTCTCATCTTTGTGTGCTGTGGCAACATAAGGGTTGGTTGAAATCATACTGGAAGTATTAATACCATAAGAGGAGTTGTAGCAGGCTTTCTCTGACAACCAGCTCTCAAATCATGACACAGAGATTATTATTAAATATGAATGCTCGGACTTATCTTATGTTTGTCCCACTAGCACCGACAACTTTCATTAACCTGTTTCTTTTCATCTTTTCATCTACATTTTGCCTCAGGGTTTTTTTGTTTTGTTTTGTTTTGTTTGTTTGTTTTTTTACCTTTCTTTCATTTTGTATGTTCTACTCTGTGTCTGGCTCGCTGGCTCTGGGCATCGCCCTTTTTTTCTCCCTGTTCTCTTCTCCTCTTCTCTCCCTGAGCCTAGATTCCTCCTCCTACTTATTCTTTCTGTTCACCAGTCCTGCCAATCCCTCTTTTGCCTAGCCATTGGCCATTCAGCTTTTATTAGATCAATGAGGTACCTTAGGCAGGCAAGGTAAAACAGAAATGCATCTTTATATAATTAAACAAATGCAGCATAAACAAATATAATGCATCTTTGCATCATTAAACAAATGCAGTATAAACAAATGCAATAGTTAAAGTAATATTCCACAACAAGGAGTCAAACGCCACAGAACAGGAATTTTCTCTCAGAAAAATACTGGCTGTTTATTGTTAAATGTCTATGTAAAATCAAATGTCTCCATGAATACAAATTATTTATTTTTTCCAAAGTACTATGCTCTTTTTTTTCAACTAAACATTTTGTTTATCAGTGTACACTGAAGTTGTTTGTCATCTAAAATAACACTTTTAATTGATAGGTATGTTTTTCATTTTTTAAGTTAATAGTTACCAATTGGTGTAAAATCTTTTTAAAACCACTATTCTCAGTGCTATTAACCTGGTACTATATTTTCCTATTTCCATAGGAAAATGCCAGAACACATTTGAGATATGACTAATAGGGATAAAATCTGAACACATATATGATATAAATCTTTATCATCTCTAAGAAATGTAGAGTAGACCCTTTCAAAAATGTCTAGTTTGGGTTTTGTCTCCTGCATTATATGATGACTTCTTTTAGATTTTGTGTGTGTGTGTGTGTGTGTGTGTGTGTGTGTGTGTGTGTGTGTATGTGTGTGTGTGTGTGTGGTGTGTGTGAATGAAGCCTCTACTCTAGTGGGTTTCCACATGACTCCTCAAATGATCCTTAGAATTAGCTGTCCCTCCCCATATTTCTTCCCTTACCCCTCTTCCCTCCTCCTTTCTATTCAATCCTCCTTTTTCAGTCTCTACCATGTCTCTTCATAACCACATATTTTCTTCCCTTTTCTTTGAGAGATCCCCCCCTAGACCTTTATTCTAGACCTTTGTGGTTATATGGATTGTAGCATGCCTGTTGAATATATATCACATTTGTCTTTTGAGGCTGTTACCTTATTGAGGATATTTTTTCCTATCTCCATATATTTACCTGAGAATTTAATGATATTTTTATTTAACAGCTGAATAATATTCTATTGTGTAATGGTACATTTTCATTATCTATTCACCTATTGATGAACATCTAGGCTATTTCCTATTTCAGGCTATTGTGAATAGAGCATCAGTGAACATGGTTGAACAAATGTCTTTTTAGTAGGATAGAGAGTCCTTTGGGTATGTTCCCAAGAGTGGTTTAGCTGGATCTCGACATAGTTCTGTTCTTAGCTTCTTGAGGAACAGCCATACTGATTTTCACAATTAATGCCAATATTTTTTAAATTGAGAAATTTCACATAAAGCCTAGTTTTCTGGCTAGTGTTCAAAAATTATTGAGACTTCATTAGCCCTTGGCATCACTAAACTGAAACTACATCAGCCTCCCTCAGCTAATACAACTCTTCCCCCCACTGCCTCTCTCTCCCCACCACCTGCTTAACCACAATACGCATTTTAGTGACGTTCTCTCATCCTAAGTATTGGTAACTAACAACCATCTTAACTCGAAATTACAGATCCTAGAAGACCAAATAAGAATTCGAGACCAGGCAGCCACAGGAACCAACTTTGCAGTCCAGGATCTAAGCATCAAACAAGTGCAGGGAGTTGGAGACCTTCGAGGAAGAGTAGCTCGGTGAGTGGTGTGGGCAGGTAAGGGTTACCACCAGACACATTTGCCTATGGAATTTCTCTCAGAAGACTCCACATTTTAAAAGATAAGCTGCCAATTTACGTCCAGCTGAGTGAATGACCTGCAGTTGAGAAATTGTCTCATAAAACTTTGAAAGTGTGATGCTTACTCTCAGTTTCATGAACTCTTACATAGAATTCCAGTTTTGTGCTAGCAGATGTGACCAGAGTCTTGTCTTTACAGCCTTCAACTGCCCAGATGCCAACAGTTACACCTGGAACACCCACATAAGCACATTCTGAGAAATAAAAGTATTTAAAGTGTGCATTGATTACGTCCAATTAGTCAAACAGACGGAGTACTATGTAATATCTTTTGCATGAGATGTTTAAATCAAGAGTTAATAGTGTATAAACCAGGAAAGAAAAGCCCTCTAGATAATGACAATAGTAGAAACACTGACAGACATATCAGAAGTCAGGTAATGACAATGGCTTGCCTGGTCTGACAGACACATGAGAAATAACTTGTGAGTGGATTCTCATGAGTGTCTTCCACCTCTACATCTTCTACCAGGTCTACTTCCCTGTCCCTTGAATTTTCCACCTTCATCTTATTCTTTCCAAATTTTAAAATTACCAGATGAGAATTAGGTGACTGACATTGAAGTCAAACTTCTCTTAGTCTATTTATGCAGCTGTCACAGAATACCTGAACCTGGGTATTTATTTATTAGAACAAAAACTCAAGTGTCTTACAATTTCAGAGAATTCCATACTCCAGGACAGCAAGTTCTGTTGTCTTGTGAGGTCTTCATCTTCCAGGGGGATAAACAGTGTTCTTGTGTGGCAGAAACCTGAAGGGCTCCATGAGGGCCTTAACTTGGTTCATCTGGGAGAAGCTGCAGTGGTCTATCACCTGCTAGCTCCCTCACCTCCTAATTCCACCACATGTCAGCTGTCTCACTTCCTAATTCCTAATTCTACCACACTGACAGCACTTAGATTTGGGAGGTTACAGAGCTAAACCAGAGAATTCTAGGCTATCTATTCTGTCAGTTCAGTAAAAATGCATTCATAACCTGGGAATGGTGGCACATATCTTTAAACCCAGAACTCTGTAGAAAGAAGCAGGTGAAGCTCTATGAGTTCAAGGACAGCCTGTTCTACATAGTGAGTTTCATGACATTTAAGGGTTACAATCTCAAAACAACCAAAACCCACAACTCATTCAATCATTTATCCTTTACCTATACCAAGCTAAGATTCAGCAACACAGTCCCCTCTCAGTAGCCCTTCACTGTCCACTTGGCAAAACCACCTCTATCAACACCTTGCCCTCAATGAGGATAATACAGTCCTGAAAGCCTGGTGCGTCGTGACAATGTTCAAACGACACTGTGCAGAAGAGGTGGCTCCAAGGAGCCAATACTCAGGATGGGATTTTGAAAGATTTGTAGCAATGAGCTACGAAAGGTGGGAAAGACACTTCATACAGGAAGAAAAATGTGTAGAAAGAACAAAGGGGAAGTCTGCTGAGGCATGTTTCAAGGCCTTCTCAAGAAAAGAGTACTCTGGTCATGATATTCTGGAGTGTGCACAAAGAAAAGATGGGTGATAATGCTAAAGAAACAACCACAGTTGGAAAATGAGGGACCTCATGGACTGAAGTAAAGAGTTTGAACTTTGTGTAGAAAGTTGTAAGTAGCCATAGAGGATTTTAGGAGAGGGGGCAATGTATTTGGTGGCATTCTAATAATATCTAAATTGGTGCTGCATATAGAAAGAGGGCACAGAGATCAGAGGCAGTTTGTTGCAGCATTCCAGGGTAGAGGTAGGTAGAGCCTGCATTGAGTCACTAACCATGGATGTTCAGTGCAGAGCACAGAAACAGAAAAATAGAATCTATAGGCCGAGTACATGAATCAACATTAATTAGAACAGAGGAATACATGTCAAAATTTTTAGGAAATGTATCCAAATTTTTGGTCTTGGGTGTGGTTGAACACCAGTCTCTCCATTATTCAGCAGAGGCAGTTGGGACAAAGAAGCAGAAAGTCTCAAACCTATCACATCTGAAAGTCTGTGGGATCTTAACCAGAGTGGGCATGGTGCTCAAAGGGGAATTGGGAGAGATAGAGGTAGGTGAGGAGCCCAGGATGTTTGTTGTCCTCCAACACAAATAACTTAGTGGCAGTAGCAAAGACTACAGTTCTGAAGTGGCACTTCATTCCTCTAAAATTGAATACTGAGACATGCAAAGAACTTTTATTTGGGTGAGCTATACATCAAGTTCAGTGAACCTACGGCCCTACTTAAGTATATTGTTTTGAAAAATATAAGCAACAAACACTTCCCTTTGAATTAAAGAAGATTTGGTTCAGTTTATTTTGTTTTTATAAATCCTGTTTTGCATATAAGGCAAAAACAAATAGGTTCAAGGTAATCAAAGTCCTGAGAGATGATCCAGTGTGCAGAAGTGCTTGCAGTGAAAGTCTGCAGACCTGAATATTCAATCCCCAAGACCCAGAGTGAAAGGGGATGAAAGGGGAGAACTGACTGACTTCTGATTCTCCACAGGCAAGCCATGGTATCTCTCTCTCTCTCTCTCTCTCTCTCTCTCTCTCTTTCTCTCTCTCTCTCTCTCTCTCTCACACACACACACACACACACACACACACTCGCACAATTTTTAAAAAGTAACACAGAGACCAATAGAATAACATCAAAAAGATGTGACTTCTTTTTCCTTTGCTCCAATTTGATTTTATTTTAAGTGTATTTTTTTTTTTTTTGGTTCAAGGAATCAAACCACAGGGATTTTCACAGGCTACACACATGTCCTACTACTGAACAGCTTCCTTCCTTTTTTCCCACCAGCCCTCTCTATATAGAGTCTTGTCTTGCTCTATTACCCAGGCTAGCTGAAACTACTGATCCCTCTCCTCCCCTCAAGGACCTGGATATCCAGGTAGTTTCCAGCAAACCCCACTGGCTCCAGAATTTTTTGAGCTCCCATCCTCAATCTGAAGTAGTAACTTCAGGGCAGTAACTTCAGGGCATTTTTTTCCTTGAAATGTCTGATTCTTATGGCAATTTTCTGAAATCTATTTGGTTATCTGAGACAAAGTCTGGCTAGAAGCCATCAGACTTAAACTTGCTCTTTCTCTCCTGCTTCTTTCTGTGTTTGTGCCAGCAAACTGAATAATGGCCGAGCTAAGGCATCTTGAATACTGTCTTTCCATATTCACTGACTTCAAGTCCACTTAGTATTTTGGCACAGGTAAAGTTAAGGTAATTATTTTGATATAATTTTAGTAATGCTTTACTGCTTCATAAATCAGCCTCAATATTTAATTTTAATATTTAATTGACATTCCAAGTCCTTGAATTTTCCCTTCTTCCCCACTCCAATGTATTGGTAGTTTAAAAGCAAGTTCTTCCTGTGATGTGAATTTCTCACCTTTGTACAGTTTCCTCTTAGAGTAAAACAAAGCAGGGTGAGTGTGCACAGGGCCCACAGAAAAGGTGAGTGTGCACAGGACTCCCAGAGAAGGTGAGTGTGGAAAGGGCTCTCAGAAGGTGAGTGTGCTCAGGGCCCACCAAGAAGATGAGTGTACACAGGTGAGTTGCACAGAGCTCACAGAGGTGAGTGTGCACAGGTCTCATAGAGAAGGGTGAGTGTGCACAGGGCCCACAGAGCAGGATGAGTGTGTACACATGAGTGTGCACAAGGCTCACAGAGCAGGGTAAGTGTGCACAGGGCTCATAGAGTAGTGTGAGTGTTCACAGGGCCCACAGAGCAGGTGAGTGTGCACAGGGCTCATAGAGTAGAATGAGTGTGCACAGGGTCACAGAGCAGGGTGAGAGTGCATAGGGCTGACAGGAATGGTCAGGACTTACGACCTGTAGCAGCAACTGCAGGTAGCCAACCTATTGTTATGTTTGGCTCTTCAGGACTAAGAGGCAAACTTGGATTTTAAATGATAAATCATGTTGATCTGTGATTAAAAGCAAAATTGTATACTTTGAGAATGCAAGTTGAGAGAGGATACTTCTGCTTATACAGGACAGAATAAAGACATTTTCTCACTTCTCTCTCAAGATATCTCAGTGCGAATGGAAAATTTAAAATGAAAACAAAACATCCATCTTTAATATGTGGGGTTTGTCACAGGAATTTGTTTGTGTTTTCCTCCAAATTGAAGAATTTCCTGCTGGATGGATAGATAGATAGATGATCAATAAATAGACAACAGATGATAGGTAGGTCGATAGATATAGATAGATAGATAGATAGATAGATAGATAGATAGATAGATAGATAGATAGACAGATAGATAGATAGGAGAATATACCACATGAGGAAGTGTTCAAACTAAAAGTATCCCAGTTTCAAAGAAACTAAGAGTAGTCAGGTAGTGGTGGCATATGCCTTTTATCCCAACGCTTGGGAGACAGAGGCAGATGGATCTTTGTGAGTTTGAGGTCACTATGATCTACAGAGTGACATCCAGGGTTGTTTCACATAGAAACCCTGTCTCAAAAGGAAGAGAGAGAGAGAGAGAGAGAGAGAGAGAGAGAGAGAGAGAGAAACTAAGAGTAAATGAAAGTTGCATGAACTTATATATTGGCCAAAGGCAGCATTAAATATACAATGAAGTTACTTTTCTCTTTAGAGGATGAACCCATTAGGATGAAGCATATCAAGAAGTTTTGGAGTTGTAAATCAGAGGAGAATGTGGAAATGGCTTTAGGAAGCTTAGTTAGTACACTCAAATCTTTACATCAAAAGCAGAGATGATGCCACAGGGTCCTCTAAAGACATCCAGTTTTGTCTCTAGAGAGAACCAGGACAGGCAGGGAGAGGCAAGGCCAGTCCCACTGTAAAGTGACCACTCACACCTGTGATAAATACATCATTAACATCCATAAGGTGCCTGAAACATCTAGTGTTCAACCTATAACAACTGTAATTTTTATTCGTTATTTACTCTATGGTAAAATTTGACTTAAGAAATTAAGTCCTGGAGAGATTAAAAACAATATTTAAATTATAACAGTATAATTTAACAAAGTTAAGTGAATGTGGAATGTTCTTGAAAAGAACAGATAAATACCTATCATGTTTGAATGAAAGAAAAGCTAGCTATCTTAGGGAAGCCACCTGCCCAGGAGTGACAAGGAGACAGGTACCACCAGAAGAGTGCAGGTCTTCCCACAGGCGACAGGGAGACAGCACCATCACAAGAATGAGATGCACCTGAGCCCTCCTAGTCAGATAACAAATAAAAGAAAAATACTGTCTGAAGTCATTCTTCCACAATTGTGAAAGCAGACAGCCTTCTTTAAACACTGAAGTATTTGAATATACTTAAGTTCATCTATTAAAATCAGAAAAACAAAATCTGGCCAATCAAGAAATACATTAAAATTAAAAGAACTGTGGGGGGGAGCCAACCTATTAAGCCAGATTCGTTGACTCCTCATGGGAGCCCCTACTCATGAGGAGGAGTGGACTGGCGGTGGGCTTGGGGAGAGACAAGGGGAGCTAGAGGAGGGGTGGGAGGGAGAACTGTGGTTGGAATGTAAAATGAAATTTAAAAGAATAAATAAATTATAAGAAAAGAATTGGGGAAGCATAAAATGTCTATAAATGAATGTAAAATGTAAATCCAATAACTATAAGATTTCAGTTACAGAACACAATTCAAGTATCATACAATTTGACATTTAAAAAGAGCAAAATATTTACAAAAATGCTGATGGAGCAGATATTTCATCAAGAATTTTTTTTTTTAGGGGTTGGTGTAGGGCCACTAGACACTGTCTACAGTTGGGATGGCAGATGTAAAAAGCCAGCAATTCCAGTCTACTGTGGCTCTTGAAATAATTTATTTTAGAAATAAATATTCCCTGCAGTAAAGAAGTACACAGCCAGTCCTCATATATGTGGGCTCTACATTTACAAAGTCAACCAGCCACAGAAATCATGGTTTATAATGGGCATGTTTTATTATCAGAAGCAAAACCACCCCATAGAAAGGTAGACACAAAGAACAGTCCTCAGGAATACAGAGCACAGCTCTTGAAAGCTGTTTATCAATCCTGGACTTCAACATTCACAGGGTTAGGTTTTGTGGGGCAACTCTCAGATAAGTAAATGAAGCTGCCAGTTTCATGCCCATGCCCCCACAGTGCCAAGTACTGTCTAAAGAATTCATACTCATTGCCTCGTCCTAGCCTTAACTTTGAGGAAGTAATACTATTAAGAGAGCCACTTATGAGTCATGAAGGTTGAATAGGGAGCAGTTCAGAAGACATATGCACACATCTGCCAATGAGTAGTGTGGTGTAAAAATTATGCAACTGTGTATACAATGACTTTAGCATCATTGGCCCCTGAATTATTTTCTTTTCAATGCAGAAAATCAAAACCCATAAGCATTAAGAAACTCATGCCAGATTACAAACCTAAAAAGTAACAGAGCTAGGACTCAAAGCCTGGTCTTTTTGACACAGCTTCTAAGTCAGCAGCCTCCATTGTGCACACCAGCTGTCACAGAGAGTGGGGAGAAAGGAGAGGGTGGCAGAAGGGGACAGAAAGTAATGCAAATGGCAGCAGCTACTTGTCTAATCTTGGGGATGTGTGGTCCCCACATGGATTCACCTAATGACATTCTAACAAATCAACAGCAGAGTTCCCACTGCAACAGTTAGACAATTTCTTTTTTCTTTTCTTCTTCTTTTTTTTTGGTTTTTTTTTTCAAGACAGGGTTCCTCTGTTTAGCTTTGGAGCCTATCCTGGAGACCAGGCTGGCCTCAAACTTACAGAGATCTGCCTGCCTCTGCCTCCCGAGTGCTGGGATTAAAGACATGTGCCACCAACGCCCAGCCAGTTAGACAATTTCTATTCACAGTTTTTACCATAATGGATGCCTATCATACTGTTCTAGTTCAATCAAACTGACTCCCATTTTGTCTCCCTCACAGCCTCCTCTCTCCCAAACATAGCTTCCCTTCACAAAGTGCTAGGCAAAATTACTGTCTTAATTCACCACTGGTTCCAATGTCTTCAATTAAAAATCAGTTGTGGACTGCCAGAGAAACTAGTAAACAAGGAAGACCCTAAAAGAGACAAACTTTGTCTTCTGGAGAAGGTGAAAGGGTCACCATCCCAAGAGCAAATTGAGAACATGGGAAGAGGGGGGAGGAAGCTACGAGAGTGAGAAGGGAAGAAAAGGAAGGATGCAGAGATCATGAAGAAGCAGAAATTTTGAGTCAGGTGTAGATTAGAAGAAAGGACATATGATAGGTAGGATTTTAGTTGGGGGGTGGTAGAGGAGGAAGGGAGGGAGAAGGGAACTGGGATCGTCATGTAATTCAATCTTGTTTGTAATTCAAATATATAAAAAATAAAAATCTAAAAAAAAAGTCAGTTGTGGAGCTTACAAATTATTAGTAGTCCTAAGATATTTGTGTTACTTGCATGACAAAATGAAATTGTGGTTTATAGCAACTATTATTTGATGACAATCAAAAACAGTTGCTTTATAGAATAACTGTCCAAGGGTGCTCTGACACCTCAGCCTTATCAAGCCCAGGTCTTCCTCAGTGTTGTGACTTTACCATTCATTCATAAATGAGCAGCAGCTGAAAGTGATCCTCAACGAGAAAGCAGAGTCTCTCAGAGAGGCGTGGGAAAGAGTAGAAGGGCCAACAGTTCTGTGTTCTCCCTGCCATACTCTCTCACCAGACTAAAACACCCAGAGCTGCCTAAGAACAGAAGTGTCATTCAAGCATCAGTATGAATTACCTTTGTCCTATCAACACTAATTTTAGACCAGTTCAGGAAGAGAGAAGTTTTGTTAGAAGCTAAGAGAATTGGACATTTTTTTTTTTTTTTGAAGACAGAGTGGAACATTCGGTTTGATGGAGACTTTTTTTTCTAGCCCAAGAAAACTTGGCATTTGGATGCTGAGAGATAAAAGTGGATTCTAAGTGTAACAAAGAAGAAGAAAAATTAACAGAATTTCCTAACTCAAGGCATCTGAGTATATTACCCAAACACTAAAATCTGGGGGAGGCGGGGAAACAGCAACAACAACAAAACAAAACAAAACAATCAAAAACACTCGGCTTTATCCAGGCATGCTGATATGTGCCTTTAATTCCACCACTTCGAAAGGAACCCAACAGTATCTCTGTGATGTCAGGGCCAGCCTGGTCTACATAGTAAGTTCCAGGCCATTCAGAGGTAGACAGTGAGACCTTGTTTTAAAAAAGAAAAGAAAAATCCCTACAACTGAATTGTAACATTTCCTCCCACTCACCATAGTGCTCCCCAGTATCTCAGTGTTGTGGCTGGACCAGTGTGACCAAGCTAGCTTCTCTCAGTCTCTGCATGCCCCATTCCCAACTCACTCCCCACATCTGTCATCATGGAGAAATTTGGGCGTCAAGGAATGCCTGTATCTTACTGTACAGTTTACAATATTGTGAGCCTGCTGATCTCACACAGATTTCCATCTTGACACCAGATGTGATTCAAGCATTGTGAAGCTTTCTGGAGATATCCAGTTCATCAGGCATGAGTACCGACAACTTGAGAAATCAGTTCAAGAACTCTTTTCTGCCCTAGAAACTGTTTCCAAGAACATGGATATGAAGGTAACTGGAAATACATATGATTTGTAGGACAGTATAAGTTACTACTAGCAGGAAGGTGATAGCTCATCAAAAGGTCTAGTCAGAAAAGAGAACCCTTTACTTCCAAGGCATTTAATATGAAGATCATTCGTATGCATTATGAGTTAAGTCAATGAACCAACAAATATTTAATGATTGTCATCTCTGTTCCAGAACACACTTCCCCTGTGAGCATGGGCTGTTTCCATCATGGCTGATATTTGCTCACTTCTTGGCTTCCTTGAACACTGTGGAGCTCAGGAATATACACAAAAGGAGTTCCCATGGAAACTGATATTTCTAAAAGTCCACCATTAGTGGCATTGATAATGTTACATATCTATTTAAACTCTGCAGTGGGTTATAGCTTTTATGAAAAGCATTAATACCCTTGGACCTGAATCATAGACACTGTTTGTCCAGTGGATCTGCTTATTGTCTGGGCTTTCTGACTTACCCATTATGCCCACTGATTCTGAGGAACCTGCAAATGGCTAGTTGACTGTAGATTTGTTGGTGTCCATTCAGTAGGAGACATGTTCGTTCTCATTCCTAGGTAAACTGTGGTTGCAGAGTGGGGTTTCTCACTGATGCTTGTGTCAGTCCAGACCCCTTGAGAAGCAAATACAATGAAGGAATTAGCCGAGCAAGAGACTCACTAAAGGGATATCCATGAGGAATTGTTAAGCTACAGAGTTGGATTGGATGAGACAGGGAAAAGGAAACCTGTCTCCTTTGAAATAGACAGGAGGGAAGGACTCAGCTGGAATGCCATGAAGAACACTTTATCAAGTTCTTTGAATGGAATGGCACTCAGAGGTGGCCAGGACCAGGGTGTGGGAAGGGATGCTCAGAGTACACACAACACTGCTGTTTTCTGAGCCCAGCAGTCAAAGCTTGGGCCAAGCATGCCCCTTGTAGTAGTTGTCAGAGGCACGTGAAACACTAGAATTAACACAGTTTTTCTATTCAAGTAGCAAGACTTCGGTTCCATCATATGTACTCTGACTACTAATTTCCACTTAGCACAGGGAACAGGTGTAGCCTCTGCTCTTCTTGCATTTGGTGCAGGTTAAAATGTACCTTCATGGTCACTTGCAAATGTTCACTGGAGCTGGGAAAGATGAGCTAGTGCTGGCTGTTGGTGTGTGTCATGGCCAATACATCTATCTATTAAGTAAAATTTGTGTTTTTTATATTTTGCTGTAATCTCTTTTTTTTGCATTTTACTTACTTGAACAGTAAAGAAAAAAATAGTTGTTTTTAAAAAATCATGCCGGGCTTTGGTGGCTCTAGCCTTTAATCCCAGAACTTGGGAGGCAGAGGCAGGCAGATCTCTATGAGTTCGAGGCCAGCCTAGTCTCCAGAGCAAGTACCAGGATAGGCTCCAAAGCTACACAGAGAAACCCTGTCCTGAAAAACCAAACAAAATCATTAGAACTGGAGATATGGCTCAGTAGTTAAGAGCACTTGCTGCTCTTCCAGAGGAACTGAGTTAAGATCCCCAAACCCATCCATGCTGGGCAGCTTCACAACTACCTGTAACTCTAGCTTCCTGGGATTCCATACCCACCCTGTAGCTTCTTCATAGTCCACTAGTGCACACATGCATGTGTACACACATACATAAATAAAAAATAAAATAAAATTTTAAAATCACTAACATATACTCTGTTGATTCATTCTAAAAAGCTATAGTGTATATGGCTGTAAGTAAGACTCAAAGTTCTTTAGTGTGGATTTTGTTCCTCATTTTTTAAAAGTACCTTTGTCCCACTCTTACTTAAGATGTTTTGAATGAAGCTTTTGCATGAATATTTCTTGGCCTGCTCCTTTGTCTTTACCCCTGCCATGCATGTACTAGCCTATTATTTTATTTTCAGTCCTTATGTTTTCACCATACTTCAATTATTAATATCTCTTACAAAAAGAAACTACCCAGGCATGGCTGTATGCTTACCCATCTGAATCCCCCATTATCACCTCCTCTTTGCTAAGGGAATGACTGGCTGGCAGATGTTGGTCCTCGGTGCTCATCTGTGACAAGAGCTGTGGTTTCGTTCTCTATGACTGGGATTTGTTTAGAAGCAATTATGTGCACTCACTGTATATTTGTTTTTAATCCAGTTATTGTATCTAAAGGAATTTCCTCAAATCTTCAGGACCCTTTTATTTCCTATCTCATATGCCTTGAGTCATGTCAGAAGTTATTTCTTGTAGTCAAGTTAGAACACTGTCTGGAAATCATGGCGGTCAAATCTCATGTCTACCATGCGTGTTTCCCTTAGAGCCCAGCTGTGCACACAAACATTTTTGCACAAACTATCTGAGCACTTACACATTGCCCATTAAGAATCTGAGCTTTACCATTGGCCATTAGGCTGATGATACAGTGGGGGGAGGATAGACGGTGACTAGGGAGAGAAGAAGTAAAGAAATAATAAAATTGAACTAATGTCAATAGTAAGTTTTTGTTATATCAGCAGGTAGTCTATTACCTAAAGAACATTACAGACAACAAAAACAATGAGGTGGAATACTTCCTATTATTATTTCCAGGAGAATGGTGTAACTATAATTGTGAATAATTTTCTTTTATTGAAAATAAATTCTTCTCTCATACCATACATCCCAACCACAGTTTTCCCTCCCTCCATTCCTCATAGTTCCCCACCCCGCCTCTCCTTCTCCATTTCCTCTTCAGAAAAAAGTAGACCTCCAAAAAATGACAGCAAACAGAACAAAACAAGATACAATAAAACAAGGCAAAAGCTGGACAAGGCAACCTGATCGGAGAAAAAGAGTCCCAAGAACAGACAAAAGAGTCAGAGATACATCCACTCCCACATTTAGGTATTCCACAAAAATCCAAGCTAACAGCCATAACATATATGCAGAGATGCAGACCCATGAGACCTCATGCTTGTGCCTTCAGTCTCTGTGAGTCAATGTGAGCCCTGCTTAGTTGATTAAATAGGTCATGTTCTCCTGGAGTCTTCTATTCCCTCTGACTCCTACAGTCTTTCCTCCCGCCTTCCATGGGGTTCCCTGATATCTGAGGGGAAGGACCTAATGGAGACCTCCAATTAAGATTCTCTGTCCACATAATGTCTAACTGTGGGCCTCTGCTCCCATCTGCTACCAGAGGGAGCTTCTCTGATGACAACTGGACAAGGCACTGATAAGGGACTGATCTATGAGTATAGCAGACTATCATTAGTGATAATTTCATTGATTTGGGAGCAGTTGTGTTTGGTTCTATTCTATCCTAGGTCTCTGGGCTATCCAGTCTCCTGGATCCTGGCCATCCTGTCAGTATAGGGATGTGGCCTCCCTCGTGTAGTATGGGCCTCAAGTTAAATCATATATTGGTTGGTCACTCCCAGAAATCCTATTGCCCCAGCATACAAGCAGGACAGGTTGTAGGTGGAGAGTTTTGTGGCTGTGTTGATGTCATGTTTCTCTTTCTAGACCCTGAAGAGTGGCTTCATACCAAACAGTAAAGGTGGAGGTTCTGTGCCCCCACCAGCTCGACCTCTCTACTTTCAGTGAGCTGTGTGGATATTGTCCTCAGCAATGGGGCACTACTGTCAGTTTTCAAAGAGAAACCTTGTGTGTTAGCATCAACCTGGGTTGTTTAGGGATCTTCACCAGACCTCAGCCAACAATTCAAACCAATGTAATTTAGTCCCGCTACTGGAAGCCTTGCTTAGCTACAAAACATGGCCAGTTCAGACTCCATATCCTCTGTAGGGTCCTCTCTAGGGTCACCCTCATACATTCCAGGATGTTTACACTGTAACAGGTTTCCATAAAAGATCCCAAATGCCCCCCCCAATTCTAGTGTCTTTCCCTACAATCTAACCCTCCATTTCTCACAACGTGATCCCTCCCATTCCTGTCCCCACCTGCCCTCATAATCTTCCCAAGGAGATCCGTATTCCCCCTATAGCCATCCTCTTTACCTAACCACTCTGGGTCTGGATTGTAGCTTGACTATCATTTACTTGATAGGTAATATGCACATATAAGTGAATACAAACCATATTTGTCTTCCTGAGTCTGGGTTACCTCACTCAGGATGATTTTTTTTTATAGTAGCATCCATTTGCCTGAAAATTTCATGATGTCGTTTTTTTTGTTGTTGTTTTTGTTTTTTTTAACAGCTGAGTAATACTCCATCGTGTAAACGTACCACATATTTTTTTTAATTCATTCTTTGGTTGAGGAACACCTAGGTAGTTTTCAGGTTCTGGCTATTGTGAATAAAGCTGCTATGAACACAGGTGAGCAAGTGTCCTTGCAGTAGCATTGTGTGTGGATGGGGGTATACCCAAAAGTGGTATAACTGAGTCTTAAGGTGGATCAATGCCCAATTTTCTGAATAGTCACCATATTGATTTTCATAATGGCTGTATAAGGTTTGCACCAGCAATGGAGGAGTGTTTCTGTTGCTCCACATCTTGCCAGCATAAAATGTTGCTCTTGTTTTTAATCTTAGCCATTCTGACAGGTGTAAAATCCAATCTCAAAGAATTTTTGCTTTGCTTTTCCCTGATGGCTAAAGAAGATAAACATTTCATTATTTCTCAGCCATGAGTTCCCTTTATTTACAATCCTCTTTTTGGATCTCTACCATATTTTAAATGAATTATTTGGTTTCTTGATATCTAGTTTCTTGAGATCTTTATATATATATTGGATATTAGCCCTCTATCACATGTGGAATTGGTAAAAAAAATCTTTTAGCATTCTGTAGGCTGCCATTTTGTCCATTTGACAGTGTTCTTTGCCTTACAGAAGCATTTCAGTTTCATGAGGTTCCATTTATTAGTTATTAATCCTAGTGCCTGTACTAATAGTGTTCAATTCAGGAATCTTCTCCTGTGACAATGATTTCAAGACTATTCTGTGGCTGTACAAATTACCATACATGGGATTGGGATGATGTAGGTTAATTTTATTGGGGAAATCACTTACAT